GAAACCTCTCCAACAAAAAAAAAAAAAGAGAAAAGAAAAGAAAAGAAAAGAAAAAAGAAGAAAGAAGGAAACAATGGACACTTTCGAAGACTCTAAATATCTTAATTAAATGCATGCATCTCTGAAGTGGCTGGCTCGGGGTTCAAACCCAAGCTCATCTCATTGTAAAGCTCTACTCTATGTAGACGGAGACGTTGCCAGCCACTGTTCCGTGTGTGTTCGTCCTTCACTGCCAGCACCTCACATCGAGTTACCTTTTCCCTGCCAATGACACCTCGCTCAGCAATGCGGGGTCCTTCTTAGGCCTTTTCTCACTCCTCTGAAGAGTCTGATCAGTGCGTCGGCCTCACCGGTCAGATAAGCAGGTGGGGCAGACGTCCTCGCCCACCCCCGAAGGCACAGAGCTGTGAAGTTTGCATGCTCAGTGCCATCTGTGTCACCAGCGTGGGTGAGGACGTGCAGTGGCAGGGTCTCTGAGCACCTACCTGTGTGCCACGCCTGACCAGTCCTGGCCCTCAGGCTGCTCCCAGCTCAGTGGGGGAGGTGGGCATCATACACAGTCGTACTGCAGAGCTCAGGGTGGGAAAGAGGCCCACATGGTGCCCTGGCCCAGGAGGGACGCACTAGCTGCACTCTGAGGAACCGGGGAGACCTCGCAGATGAAGTGGTGTCTAAGGGGACCTCGTGGTAAGGTCAGGATTCTGCCACATGTTAAAAAATGAAGCTTATTCCAAGCACAGTAATGTGTACACAGAATGCAAACACCTTTAGTGGCCTGGACTCTATCTGTTTTTTTGTTCTGAAAGAGAGAGAGACAGAGAGACCCTTTACATAGTTTAGCCGTGCCGCTCTCCCAGCCTCTCCCTGCCCTGTCCCCCAGGGCCCCCAGCCAGCCAGGACCACAGGGGTGCATGGGTGTGCTCAGCGTGCACAGGTTGGCCCAGGATCTAAACCCAGGGAGTCCCGCATAGCAGTGCCTCACGCCTGTGCAACAATAATAGTTTGAACCATAGGAACTACTGTTTTGTAGAGAGAGTTGGTAATATTGGCCATTCCATGTGGTTTGGCCCGTGGCAGTGAACATTTATTGAGCTCTTAAGATATGCTAGGCCTCAGGACCAGCAGTTGGCATAATGGCTATGTCACTGGACTCCCATGTAGTCGACCGCTGTTCGAGTCCCAGACCCAGTGGCTTAAACTCACACCAGGCACATGTGCATGCGTGCCCAAGATCCCGAGACGAAAATGGAGAAGAAGAGATTGTGGCATGACTATCCTCCCTGGGGAGTGATTTCTCGCTCTCTGTCTCTCTGTCTCTCTCTGTCTTTCTGGCGAGCACAGGCGCCCTATAGCAAAAAACCTCTCCGTAAAAAGATATGCCAGGCCTTTTCCTAAGCACTTTATGTGTACTAATACATGTCATCTTTATGAAAACAAAACAAGGAGGTATTTTTACTATTATTAGTATCCTATTACACAGATGAAGAAACAAAAGCCCAGAGAGGTTGAGTGACTTATTCAAGCCACACAGCGGAAAGGAGGCTAAGCTGAGATTTGAACACACGCCATGTGGCTCCTGAGCCTGCACTGTTTCCCCACGACAGTCCCTGCTCAGCCCAGGGGTGCAATGTTGGGTCTCAAATGGATGAGTGATACAAACTTATGTTATAGAGCACTACACGTTCCTCCATTCACTTTTCAGGCTATTTTTGTATATTCTCAGCCTCCTCTTCCCTTTTTTTTTTTTTCCTCTAGGCTCAATCATAAAATAATATAATTGTGACATGTGGCAAATTTAGTTACTGCCCTTCGAAACTCCATGACCTCATTTTGCTTGTAGGTCACTGATCCCCCGGTGCGGTTATTTAACAAGTTTGTTTCCACCATGGGAAGCTCTTCCCCAAAGCCAGCCCAGATACACAGCTTGCGATCTGTCTCTGCCCAGGGCAGGGAGCTCTGCTCCCAGATGCCCATGACAAAGGGGCAGAACCAAGGCTCGGGGTGAAGAGGAGATGTGAGGAACTGGGACGAGGTGCCCTGTGACCATCTAGAAAAAGAGCCTAATACCCCCCAACCCACTCTCTGATTCATCCAGCAGGTGTTTCTGAAGGCATGCCATGGGCCAGGTACCTTGTAAAATGTAAAAACAAAAATGTTTAAACTGGCCTTCTGTTTCTTGCTACAAAGAAACTAAAGTCTGCTGCGGGCTTAAAGTTATTTCCAGCAGAGGGAGGGTTTTTCTCCAGCAGTGTGTTAAGTTTGTGATGGTCACTGAGGAAAGCTGAAGAGCGTGGGAGACCTGGGCCTGCAAGAGCAACGACATGCGCTTTTGTTTATCCGTTCATCCCACTTAGGCCCCACCCCCTTCCTCAAAGGCTGGGCTGTGACCAGGGTGAGCAGGAGCAGGCCTTCCGGGGTTCCTCCTCCACTGAGCTCCAGGATGGAAGTTTGGGGAGCATGAGGGCTGACTGCTCCCATCCCACCCAGGCCCAATCCAAACGGCCAGGTCTGAGCAGAGGGCCAGGTAGAGAGCCGGGTGCCCTGGGTGTGAACCCAGCTCTATCAATTTCCTTCTTGAAGGGCTTGGGCCACAGGGCATGCGCGCTTACCAGAGAGGCAGAAAGAGACCGAGGGAGACAGTGAGAGGGAAAATGAGAAATGACCTTCCAGGGAGGATGGCCACACCGGAATCCTTTCTCCTACATTCCCAGATTTCGGGCACAGATGCATATGTGCATAGCTTGACTTTTAAGCCACCACGTCTGGGACTTGAACCACAGTCAGCCATGTAGGAATCCAGCACCTCGGCCACCATGCCACCTGCGACCCCCACAGCTCTGCCAATTTCTAGCCATGTGATCTGGGCAAGCTATTTGCCTCTTCTGTGCCTCACGCTTTTCTCATAGGTGAAGTGGGGGTACAGCTGCTGGCTCTCTGTCAGCCTGTGAGTACTGCAGAAGCCAATTATTGCCTGGCATGTAATGAGCACCCCAGAAATGAGAGCGCGTATTCTTTTTCTTTGTTTTTTAAAAGCTCACCTTTTCAAAATGTAATTTATTTTTTATTTTATGATTCCTTATTCACATTTAATTATACATCAAAATGGTGCACTATATTTTTCTTTTTTTTAGAAGAGAGGTTTTGCTACAAGGCACGTGCACTTTCCAGAAAGAGAAACAGAAAATGAGAAATCACCCCCCAGGGGGGATAGCCACGCTGCAATCCCTTCTCTTCCATTCTCCTCTCAGGATCTTGGGCACGCACGCACATGAGCCTGGTGAGTTTAAGCCACTAACTCTGGGACTGGAATCGCAGTTGACTAAGTGGGAGTCCAACAATGTAACCATTACGCCATCTGCTACCCCATGATTTTTCAAGGTATGCATGCATGCAGTGTGTGACAATCGAATGAAAGATACAGCCATATACACCCTATTCGACGGAGAGCTCCATGTTCTCCTGTCTGGTAAGGGTTTCTTCCCTGAGCCCTCCCGCCAGCCTCTACTACCCACCCCTCCCGTACAGTCTCTGGTAACTGCACTTCAATTTACCTTTTCTCAAGTTTACTGATTTATTTTTTCCGTAAGAGAGAAAAAGAGAGGCACCCACGACAGGACCCTCATGCCATGATGCACCCGCCTCCGCCAGCCGGGTCACGGGCACACACAGTGTGCCAAGCGTATGGGAGGCCGTGGGGCACGAAGCCAGGGACCTTCCTACGTGGGCCCAGCGTCACTGAGCGCTGCGTTCCACTGTGCCAGAAGACGGGGCATTTTCCGTTTCCTTGTTACCACGTCATCATGATCTAAGCAGACTTTCCTCCACTCACTCATCTGCTGAGCTCTCATGCTCGAGGGCTTGAAATTGCCCCAAATCCTTCACAAGCGCTCGCTACCCCATGTTTGCGAACGTTCTTGTACCTACAATGCAGTGAGGTAGGTCGATATCAAAAGTCAGATGTAATTTTCCTAGGCAAAGATCAAAGCTTTGGTTTTTTTTTTTTAATCATAAACCTGTAGACAAGTAATTTAAAATAAAATTCAGGCAGAAAAAAGTTTAAGAATGTCACGCTCTTTCTCCCTTGCTCTCTGTCTCTCTTGCTCGTGAAAGAGAGAGCTTTAATGGTAGCCTTTTAGAGAACGAGGCCGAGAGGGGAAACCAGGAGGCTATTAGAAGGTTGGTTATGTCCGACTCCTTGACCTGGCGACGGCTTTGTAGTTGTGTACCGTTCATAACTTGTTGAGCATGTTAAAGTTAGTTGTTCCCCTTTCTATGTGTGCTTTGTACTTCGAATTAAAAAGTTTACTTAAGGGAACCAGCAGTTAGCGTAATGGCTATGTCGCTGGACTCCCACGTAGTCGACCGCGGTTCGTGTCCCGGACCCGGTGGCTTAAAACTCACGCCGGGCGCGTGTGCGTGCGTGCCCAAGATCCCGAGAGGAGAATGGAGGAGAAGGGATTGTGGCGTGACCATCCCCCCTGGGGGGTGATTTCTCGCTTTCTGTCTCTATGTCTCTCTCTGTCTGTCTGGCGAGCGCACGCACCCTACAGTGAAAATCTCTCCAAAAAAAAAAAAAAAAAGTTTACTTAAGAACTAGCTGTCCAGCACCCTCTCACCTTCAGAGAATCCAGTTGGGCTGTCTCTGCTGGCCACTCGACCTCAGAAAGAGGCCAGGATTCTGAACACGGCGGGCTTTGAAGTCCACTGTCGGTTTCAGAATTTAGCAGGTATTTCGGAGCTAAAAGAGAATATGCTCAGTCAAGCCTCAACTTAAGAATCTATTTTTAAAAATCAACAAGTTTCTGAGCCTTATAATAAACTTTTTCAGTCTCTTGCTGTTCCCTCGGCCGTTCCCAGATTCCCACATCCCCAAGATAATGGCTCTGATGCCTTTGAATTTTCCAAGTACCACGCCCCTCTAGGAATACTGTCATGATCTTGGGGTACCCTAGCAAACCGTCTGCCTGGCTCACCTCGCGCCTCCCCCCGGCTGCAGAGACCACCATCTTTGAGTGGCAACACTTGTGAGGCCCTCACATCTGCCTGGGGTGTGCTACCTAATAGCCTTCCAGAAATCTTGGGTAGGTAAGTCATTCAGTAAGTCTAGTGCTCTTCCTTCTTGGAAAGATGAGGAAGCTGGGACCAGCAGTTAGCGTAATGGCTATGTAGCTGGACTCTCACGTGGTCAACCACGGTTCACGTCCCAGACCCAGTGGCTTAAAACTCACACTGGGCGTGTGTGCATGCGTGCCCAAGATTCCGAGAGGAGAATGGAGGAGAAGGGATTGCAGCATGGCCATCTACCCCGGGGGGTGATTTCTCGCTTTCTGTCTCTCTGTCTCTGGCAAGCGCACACGCCCTATAGCAAAAAGCTCTTAAAAAAAAAAAAAAGAAAAAAAGAAAGAAAAAGAAAGAAAGAAAGGAAAGAAAGAAAGAAAGAAAAAGAAAGAAAGAAAGAAAGAAAGAAAGAAAGAAAGAAAGAAAGAAAGATGAGGAAGCTGGACCCAGAGAAAGAAGGACCCTTGCCTGAAGTCACAGAGAAAGTCAGTGGCCAAAGCCAATCAGCTGGAATGTGTGCCTCTCTAACTGTGAAAACAGGCGCCCGCTCTGTGTGCCTCTAACTGTGAAAACGGCACCCGCTCGGGCTGCAGGATAGTAGGGAAAAGCAAGGCCCGTAATGACCAGTTATGGACTGAGGATGGGTCTCCCTTCTTGGTTATTGACACCCTGCAAAGTGTCGGGCACAGGCACTCCTGAGGAAGGGCTTACGTCCTCCTTGTATGAGTCTACGGCTTAGAGAGGTGAGTTAATCCACGCGAGGTCACACGACTGGTAAGAACAAAATCTACTGATAGTAACAAGAACATTAGGGGAACGGATCTCCGGAGCAGCTCGGATTCAAGGTAAGAGTGTCCGTCCTTCCCCAACTTTCACGGCCCCCACCTCCATGAGGATAACAAGCTGGCCTTTAACAAGGCACAAGGAAATTTTGTCTGGCTAAATAGCATCTTAATTTTCTTTTTTAATTATAAAAATAATGGAACAAGAGTTCACTCATGCCATCTGTCTGAGCAACCACTGTTAGTACTTTAGCATAGCTCCTAGCCCCCAGTGCCGATTGCGAGTGCAGGTACAGTTATGACATACTAATCATCTGGAACATTCCATATAATTTAGTAGAACATCATAATTTCCATGCAGCTACATTTATCAGCGCCATTTTAATGACTGTTATATTTCATTAAGTATATTGGCTAATTAACAATACTGACAGTTTTTTCTCCTGAATTTTTACTAGTGTAAATACATTGGCACGAATACACCTGTCCACAGAGCTTTTCCAGCACAGAATAACTTATTTGGGATGACCTCCCAGGAGCGAAACTACAGGGTCTGGGAATTTGAACGTTTTGTATTTTTCTAATGAGTTGTCCGTAAGCTGAGAAATGGGAAGTTAGGGCTCAGCAGGGATGGGAGAGGAAGAAAGTGGGCCTTGCTCCCTTTAATAGTTTAAGCTTGACAGTGGGCATTTTTCCACCCTGGGCCATCTGTCAGATGGTCCTCCTGGCCTGGACTTGTTCTGAGCACACAGACTGAAAATCACACTGACCTCTTACAACTGCTGTCCTCTCAGACTCCATGTCCAGGTGGGGGCCTGTCTGGAAGGAAAGACATCTTGGCAGTTAGTCTGAGCAGCCTGAGGGAGAAGCCTTACGCAGATGATTGAAATGGGGCCACAGCAGGGCCAGCACCCTCCCTGCAAACACGGCCTTCTGTGGTCAGAGCAGCTCTGCCATGGCGGGAAGCTGCGGCCAGAACCCCTTCCCTCCTCTGTCCTTCACCCTCAAAGATCAGGTCTTGGATTTGCTCTTAGGGAACACAGGTAGGGCCCAGCAGGTGGTGTGGTGGTTAAAGTACTAGATTCCTGTGGCCAACTGCGTTTCGAGTCCCAGACCCAGCAGCCTGAAACACACCAGGCGTGTGTGTGTGTGTGTGTGTGTGTGTGTGTGTGTGCTCAAAATCCCAAAAGGAAAATGTAGGGAAAAAGAGATTGTGACATGGCCATCCGTCCTTTGGGGAGGGGGGTATTTCTCACTTTCTCTCCATCTCTCTGTCTCTCTGGTAAGCACATGTTCCCTATGGCAAAAATCTCTCAAAACAAACAAACAAACAAACAAAACAAAACAAAAAGAAAAAAAGAAAGAAAGAAAAGGGGAGAAAGAAAGAAACACAGGTACAAGGAAATGATTTTATTTCTTTTACTCAAGTTAATCTTTAAATGGAGACTATAAGAACTGTGCTATAGAAACTGCTGTTAAAAGAAACTTGAGAAAAAAATGAGGGCACAGGACCAGTAGGTGGTACGGAGCTTAAGGTGGTTGGATTCCACATGGCCGTCTGCATGGTCTGAGTTCTGGAGACTTGAAAACCATGCCAGGCTCAGGTGTGCGTGTTCCCAGAATCCCAAGAGGAGAAGGGAGAGAGGACCGCAGCGTGGCTGTCTCCCCGGAGTGATTCCTCACTTTCCCTCCTCCCCGATGAGTGCCTGTGTCTTATGACAAACAAGCAAAAAGAAAGAAAGAGAAATAAAAAAGAAAGAAAGAAAAAAATTGGAGAAAGAAAAAGAAAGAAAAAAATAAGAAAGAATGAAAGAAAAAGAGAGAGAGGAAGGAAAAAGGAAGGAAGGGAGGGAGGGAGGACAAAGAAGGAAGAAAAGCGAGCATCTGGTGCCCTGACCTCTCCCCAGGGACAGCAATCACCTGGAATCTGGTCAGGCTTGAACCTGAGCCCCCACCTGCACTGCTGCAGAGGCTGGTACCTCCAGGCTGCTGTCGCACAGGCTCTGGCCACCCAGCTGGTCTGCCCAGCAGCCCTCAGTTGGCTGGATGAGAGCTGCAGGCTAGAGTCAGCTCCAACCAGCAGCTGGGCACTGCTTCCTCTTCCTACTGCGGCAGGCCCCTGTGCACAGGCTGCGGGGACGTCTCTGGGCTCATCTCCACTCCACGCTCCTGCCAGGTGTCCTCCGGGGATTTGTACAGAACACGCCCTGTGCCTGCAAGGACCCTGCTCTCTCTTTCTGTTTAACTCCTAAGCGGATTGCGAGACCTAATTCATGTTTTTCTTTCTTTCTTTCCTTTTTTTTTT